AAAGGAACGAAACCTGACGTTCTTTGTGAATAACGCTGAGTTCTTGGCCGGCAAACGGAGTTCATTGTTGGCGTCTAAGGGTCTCATGCTGACTGCTCAACAGCTGAACACACTCTATGTAGGATACCGCCAGCTCAGTGCAGTTGAAGTGGACACCTATGGGCCAAACATGCCCCCACCCAAACCCTATCCGTTTGAAGACCAGATCAACGTGACTGTTCATGTTCGGGGCTACTTTTCATCTTGCAATTCTCTATCCGGATCTAGTAGTTCGTGGTCCAGCTACGGATGTAATGTAAGCAACTGTCAACTTATCCCCAAATCTCTATTGAGAATTAATCTCGTGGAAGCATGAAGATTAGCCTTATCCTCTATTTTTTTCTCCCAATTTGAGCTCCGAATTGGTGGACTGGGTAGAAGGAGGATGTTTAACCCATCCAGATTACGCAGCTAGAACTGTCTACTTATTTACTTAAGTAGATGCGGTTTGTTGCAGTTTTCCTGGACATTCAGGGAGTTGGTGCTACTGCACCTGCAATAGCACGCAAGGAATTGCACTATGACTTTTACGGACTTGCAGCAACTTGCCCTTTTTGACTGAGAGATAGAGAGAGCACTTACTTTGGGTGTCAGCCCTGAACGCCGTACTTCGCTTTCGGCTTCCATTTTGTACGCCTTCGACGCCCTTCCTACTTTACGACTTCTTTTGGTAATAACATTCTTAACCCACTTACACTTTCCACATTGGCGTTGCATAACCTACCCTCGTACAATACTTTATGAAATACGACTTTCGATGGGAAACGCAGCCATCTACAAGTACCGAAAATGTAACCAGTAGCACCAGCAGAGGTTTACTGTTGACAAATTGACACGTTCTAGCCATGCGGTATCATATTGTTGGTAGAGCGATCCAAGACAGCAGATGAGCCTTTATTTTATGCAGAACGCGTGACGGCAAGGTCTGGGCCGATAAACTAAAGGGTTGGGGTCGCTCGTCTATCTCCCCCCCCACCACCCGGTGCTACACATAAGAACAGGAACCGACGGGGATACAGGCGGCTTTGCGTTAATCCCCGGGGAAATCGGGGTTACAATTACGGTTAAGGGCACGCATTAAATAGGTAATTCCATTAAGAAACTAGAGCACAAGTATTCCTGCAAAGCGAGAAGGGTGAAAACATTAGTTTTATCGGTATGGCAGACGAGCGAGTCAGTTAACGGAGCCTAAGCAAGACATTTAGAATATCCGCCAATGCTTGTTTTACTATTCGAAGGAGGTACTGAAACAGAGGCGCAATAAGAAGTATTCGAATTAGGGCGCGGTTAAACGGGCAGAAAACAGTAAATCTGGGCTTTATTTTCAACGAAGGCCAAATTGGGTCAAACGATATGTGGCAGGCAAATTAGCCCTAACCCGCTCCCTCACCCATATCTTTAACCTAACCATACCCTAACGTCAATTAACATTTAATCAATTCCTTAAGCTTGGTCAGAAACTTAATCCAAATATAACCTGCCTAACTAAATCCAATGAACAGACATGCTTAGTAATTAACGTAACGATATACATTTTCTATTGTCACCCGGTTATGGATTGAGGAAGTCTTAGAACACAATAATATTTATCCTTCCTGGCATTTAGCATAAGACCACCTTTATTCACTGGAGGACGATCGTATTCCCCTGTCCTGCTTTTGGGCGAAGGAGGCTATATAAGAATTTCCGACCAACTAAAGTCCCAAGCCCTCAACATTCACCTGTTGGCCCCAATCATAGGTACAGAAAGGAACAGGAGGGACCGTAATAACCATGCCTTGTCGCGGAAGCTGAAGCTATGAGGAAAACAGCAGAGGGCGACTCGCACGCTGAACAGCAAAACGGAAGAATAAGTTGGAGTCAGATGGTGGCCGGACGGGAGGCTCACACCCGAAAACGCCGAAACGGACAGCCTAGTGTCTTGAGTGAGGGCGTTGATTAGTCGGTTTGGACGGTTGTGATTGGCCGAAAACCAGCCAGGTCTACTCGGATTCAGTGATTGGGTAGGCGTCATGCGGAGTCTCGTCATATCGGATGAAGGACATGCTCATGCAAGCATGCCATTGTTCCGCCATGACGAGCCAATCACTGAGAAGAAGAAGAAGCCCCACTTGGTGTTCGGTCAATCATAGCCGTCTAAAATGACCGAAACGTCATGCTCGTGCGTAACTGCAAGAAAGCGCCAGACAGGGATAGGCAGCCTAATTGTCGTCGTGAGCCCACGATAGGTCAGCCGGAGGCCTGCAAGACACGAGGTTCGAATCCAGGATAACTTACCCATTGAGTCCTGCCCTCTAGCACTTGAATCATGGCTTCACGTTTTTCTGCCTGCGATAGGGAATGTGCAGCGTCGCGTGGGATGGCATTCTCTGATCTAGTCTGGTTTCAGGAGGAAATGGGAGTTTGTCACTCATTTCGACTGCCCTAAGCGAACGATCCAATCAAATGCTTGAATTATTGGTGTTCTGGTTGTAATTAGTCACGACTTGCTCTATTTTGCGTCTACAAAAGAAGCTTTCAATTATTGAGCCTTCGTCGCTATGGCATCGCCGGAACTTCGAGATCCTAATAAATTACGTATGCGTAACTGGCACTTTTACGGTATGCGCATGCATGCCTTAACATTCACTCTAATCAATTTTAATGCATGCTCCTGTGTAAGGCAAATTCCTTGAACTTTTTATTTTTGGTTTTAACAGGTATCTGCCGAGAGCACTGTCATGAAGACTGTTTGCGCCTGTAACCATTTGACAACTTTTGCTGCCGGTTGGCTGGTCGCTCCTAACACTGTGGACTTTGACTACATCTTCCGAAACATAGACTTTGACAAGAATCCAACCCTCTACGCCACCGAGATCACCATTGCTGTCATCTTTCTACTCCTCTTCATCTGGGCTCGACGGAAGGACAACTCCGACCGTCAAAAGGTCTGCGCATTTGGTCAATAGGGATAACTCTTGTCATTTCGATCTTCCAGGTCTGGTTCCTTAGGAGAATACAGGTCATGGTGGAGTGGTATGAACAGTTTATTCTGTACAGAAGGATTCGAGAATAGTTAAGAGGAGGTTTTCACTTGGCCTGGCATGGGGTGAGGGTCCTGTGATAGTGCGGGGTCGTCACAGTTGCCAATAACGTTGCCTGCGTCTGATTTCATATCCGTCAGGGCGGGAATTGTCACGAGGGCCCAGACTGGGCTTTGTGTGAGTCAGACTCAGGGAGGAGATTAGCCAGAAGGGTCATACATGCGTACTGATGCGAGAGGCCAGATCTCACTGTGTGAATGCATGCTGGCTGGCTGGCGTTGATGCAGGTTG